ATGTGGACAACATGGAGAGGGTCCAGGAGAGGCCACTCACGTGGTCAGGGGGCAGCAGGGCAGGCCCTACAAGGAGAGGCAACGGGACCTGAACCTGTTCAACCTCCACAAGAGAAGGCTGAGGGGGAATCTAGTGGCCTGTTACAAACTAGTCAGGGGGGACCAGCAGGCATTGGGGAAGTCCCTGTTCCCCCGAGCACAAGCAGGAGTGACCAGGAATAACGGTCACAAGCTGGCAGAGGGTAGATTTAGGCCAGATATCAGGAGGCGCGACTTCACGGTCAGGGTAGCTAGGATCTGGAACCAACTTCCAAGAGAAGTGGGGGTGGCTCCTACCCCGGGGGTCTTTAAGAGGAGGCTTGATGAACACCTTGCTGGGGTCGTTTGACCCCAGTACTCTTTCCTGCCATGGCAGGGGGTTGGACTCGATGATCTGCTCAGGTCCCTTCTGACCCTGCCAACTATGAAACTATGAAGAGTAGATTTAGATTGGATATCAGGAAGAAATTCTTTATGGTGAGGGTTGCCAAAATATGGAATGGGCTTCCAAGGGAGGTGATGCTTTCCCCTACCTTGGAGGTATTCAAGAAAAAATTAGACAAGAACCAGGTGGAGTTATCTAACCCAAGCACTCTTTCCTGCCTAGAGTGGGGGGTTGGACTCAATAATCTACAAGGTCCATTCCGGCCCTAGAAATCTAAGAAAAATACACCTTTGGTTAGTGCTTCTTACCTTGTCCATGAGCGAAATAATTTGAAGAATAAGTTGATCCTGACGTAAATCATCACCATGTTTAAATATTACAGGGTATTTGCCTCCATCTTCTGTTTTGAAGAATAACTGGGCAGGCATTAGGGCACTCTGGAAAGAAAAGTTTGCCACAACCATGTACAGCAGAACAAATCCAATTCTTACATCTTCAAATGTGTCACAAGTTTAGGCTACAAATAGCTTTCTCTACATTCTAGTACACACAAAATGTTCCTCTTTCTTTCTGGCCTCCTTGCATGATCCATCCCAGTGATAACGTCGCTAATCAAGGCACCAAATTCAGTTACAAAAACATATTTGTGGAAGTTAGCAAGGATAATCAAAAGGTCCCTCTATGGTTTAGCATCTCAAAGCAATTTCCCCCCCCGCATCTCACTCTACATCCCCTTGGTTATGCCAGGGGAAGTGCAGGAAGCACTGGTTGTGCATTAAGCTCTACACGTTGGTAGAACTGCGCTTGTAACATAGTGCTCCTTGGTTTAAGCCCAGGGCAGCAAAGTGCCACGGGCATCCTCTGTGTGTATTCTGTGCCATACTGGGAGGGGGCAAGCAGCACAGTCGCCAATCAAGAAGGAAGCAAAACTCAGAGCAGCAGGTCAGGCAGAAAAAGGGGACCAGTCAGAAGTGGTACAAGGATTTTTGCCGCCGTAGGCAACCAATATTTGCCACCCTCTCATGTAATGAACCTAGAACCTGATGGGAGCTGGCATTAGACAGAGGCCTGGAGCAGTGGCCCCCGAGGAATCCCACTGTGAGGTGTGTGCATGCTGATTTTGCTGCTCCCTTCAATTTGCCACCACCCTAAGGTGCCACCTGTTATGCTGGCCACAACCAGTGGCACTCAGGGAAGGCACACGGCTCATTTGTGGTACACCTGCCAAAAAGGCTGGCTCTCACCAGTCTAAAACTCAGCATCAAGAAACTACTATTACCAGTTAGCAAAAATTTGGCCCCAGAAACTTTTAGGCTGTGAAATTCCTAGACTCTCTACCCAGTGGGAAACCTGAAAATACATTACTTTATTCCTGTAATTAAAGGAAGCTTTATTTTGGATAGTCTAAATAAATAAATACATAAGCAAGCTTGGAAACAGTATACTAAGTTGTCAGAGCCAAACAATTTAAACTGACCAGAAAGGAAATAAAAAACCTCAATTAAATTAAACACTCCAAAGAAATGCTAGGAATAGGAAATCTTAATGAATTGCCTACTTAATTTACTTAGTGAAAGTGAAAATTCCCTTTAATTATCTTTTTTTGAGGAACTAATTTAATTTCGTTTGCAGTCCTGCTCCCCACCTCCCCATGAAATGAACTGAAGAAGATCAATTATCTACTTGAATAAATTCATGTATTGTAACTGAGCAAATGAGAAATGAAACAAAAACAATGAGGTATACAAATGGAGATTTTTAATTGAGCTGTTTCTCTGGAACTGTTCGTGTGCAACTAATCCGCCGGACACAGCAGCCCTTTTCTGTCCTTCTGACCCTGCAGACCTGCCAATTACCACTGAGTCTCTAAACTGTCTTAATCCTCAGGAAGGCATTTCAGAAGATGAAGGTTATTCTGTTTGAGGTGCACTGGACATCAGTGGCACTTGCTGTAGGACTATATCTAGATTCTGCCTTTTCTTTTGGGAACAAGTTTTATTCGAACAAGCAAAACGGTCGCTCTAGTTCAGTGATGCCAAACTCATCTGGTCTGCAAGTGGGATAGGGACCGACCCCCTTTGGAGCAGCCATGGCACTGTGAGCAGCACACATGTGCACAGCAAGCTCCAGGGCCAGTGCATGCTGGGATGGACCAGCCACATGTGCTGCCCTCGGCACAGGGCATGCAATACAGGCGGTGCCCTGCTACCTGGCTCCAGCTCCAGTGGGACACCTGTGCAGTGCACATCCTGTGCCAGCCCTCTGTGATATGTGGTGGTCTAGCACCATACACAGTGTGCAGTACATCCTGGCCCTGGGGCTCACTGTGCACATGATGTGTGCTGCCTGCAGTGCACGGGTCAGACCCTGTGCTGCATAAAACACAGGGCATCTGGGGTGCCCCAAACTGACCCTCTATGATGGCGGCAGTGTGCTGGGTGGGGTCCAACCCGTACACCACATGCTGCATGCAGAGCCAGGGCTGGTGCATGGGGCCGGTCTAGCAACCCAGCCTGACAGTAAGGTTACACACTATTCAGAGTTTTAAATGAGTTATCTAAGACTTGGAAGGGGTGGCAGATTGCTACTGCTGTCTCTGACCTCTTCCCACATACGTCACGCAAGGCTGCTATACACATCTGCTGTGATTTTACCAATGATAAACTTTAGAATTGCCTGTGCGATCCTCTTCCTTATCAGCAGTTACAGAGGACACCCAATTTGACAAGTCCCACAAATCGAACTTGGACTATACAATCTCCTAGCTTTCTCAGTGCCCAAGAAAGAGTAGCAACTCAATAGAACAATGCCCAGTCGAAAAAGAAAGGGTTGATGCTCATCTTCAATCTACAGGATACACTCTTTACTCACCTATGACTCTACCCCATTCTTTTTCGTAAGGATACCCAAATGGCATCACTAGCTTGAGATGTCCTTCACCTTCTTGGGTGGCCTAAAAAGTCATGCCTACGTAGCACAAATCTGACCAATGAACCATATTCTGGCTACCTACAAATTAGACTACAGTGGGCTGGTGACGGTGATCTTCCTAAATATTATCTAGATGGTATTATGTGCAGCCGTTTGTGTTCTGAGTACTAATGGAACATCAAAATACTAGAGTTAAATATTTTTAACATTAGGTTAGCTCTATCCAATTGCAAATTTCAGTGTAAGGTTCTGGATCCAATGCCTTTTCTTGAGGAAAACCAGAATAAATCATGCCTAACTCAAAACTTGCAGGTGGAAGATCAAACCTTTATAACATGCCTTCTGTTAGGAAATCCCTCTGACAAGATATCAACATGTTCACCACTTCATTCCTTTCAGAGGAGCATGTAAAACTCATTTTTTCAAAAGGTATTAACAAGTATGCAAACTATCTTCCTTAAATGTGGAACATACCTACACACACACTTCACAAACAGAGGAAAACCTTCCAAGCAGAGCACTTTAGCAATGGCTGCACTCCAATACCACAGCAATGAACACATTATGCACGCTTAGATCATGCATTGGCTCCACTAAAATCAATTGCATTAGCCTCTCAGTTTCAGAAGTAACAAGTTAAATTCCCAAGTTAAAAACTATCAGCAGTCTAAACACTTGAGACAGTTGCATTTCACTCCTTCATTTACCTTAAACAATGTGGCTTTCTCTGGGATGATACCTTTAATTTTCACTTGCGGTTCTAGAGGAAGTGGAATAAGTTCCATATCTGCCAAGTTCATCTTTTCATTGTCTCCTAGTAATGCCTGCAGCCTCTCATTCTGAAAAGACAGAAAAGTTTAATTAGATGAGAAGGAAAATCCAGTTTAAAAGAAAGGGATAGCAAGAGCATAAGGACATGTTCAACTGAAATAGTTGGATATAAGTATGATAACAGAGAATGCTACATTATTTACTGAATATACATTTACTGCTTCAAAACATACATACATCCTTAATGCCCACTGAAGTGATTTCAGGCATTTGAAGCTGCTCATACACACACAGTAGACACAATACTCTTGCAATCATTCAAATGTTTCTCTGTAAATTGACCTACTATCAAAAAGGTGGTCAGCTTTCTATATTTCTCCAGTAATAGTTAGTTATTCTGTTCAAATTTTGGGGTGCAATCCCACAACTAGTTTCATGCTTGTCAATACCTGAACTTGTGTGAAGCCCTACTGACATTAATGGCTCGACTGGAAAGAACTGCTTGTACAGATGAGATTTCAGACATAGGGCCTACATTTTAAATGATATGTTTAATCAGCAATACATTACAACGCTGCACTATGTTAGACAGTGAAAACCCCACAGTTGAAAGGCTCAGCCTACCTTCTTCTACCTACAACACAGAGAAGACAGATGCAGCACACTCCATTGTTTTAACAACAGCTGGAGGCGCAAAGATTGGCCAAAGGGTTACTAAAAGTGGTCTGATGTCATGAAGAATGCTTCCAATGGCCACCTGCCACAGGTCAGGATTTAACCCAGAGCAAAGAGCTAAGGACGCACACGCACACGCAAAGTAAATATGATTTCCCAGCAAAACTTACTATCTGAGGCAAGATGAGAGGCAACCAAATCTGGTAAGCATGAAACTAAAGGGTATTAAGGAGAATAAACTGAATGAATATGACCGAGAAACCCAGAAATAAAGGTGCCAGTCCACTGGTATTTAGATACCCAAGTTCCGCTGAAATCCACAGGAATTTGGTGCCTAAAATACCCTGTGGATCTGCAAAAAAACTATGGAAACAAGAATAAGTAAAGATATCCAGAAATGTCCAAAAATTCTCTAAATCTATTGAAATATTAATAATTGAGCATACAGTGTGCCACGAAAAAGAACAATGACAACTGACTATAAAAAAAAGGGAAATCTTAATAAAGAAGTAAGCTAGCTATAAATGCCACATAATCTATTACATGGACTCCAAGGGTTTAACTACAGGTATATACCAAATTTTAATTGATATGTAGCAGCCATTTCCTGGGGAGGGGGAGATGGCATCAAACTTTTCAGTGAAAATGTGGTATTTAGGAAACGGTTTCTCAGAAAGGCCAGAAGAGCTGAAATGTTTTATGTTTAACACCAGCACGCACATATGTTATATATTCATGTTAGACAAATGTAGAATGCCTTTGTTATAACCTCATCACTGATAGTTCACCAGGAAAACTTAGCACACCTGAGCTCCAACTCAAAGCTCAGATAACCAAGGTTTTCAATCCGTCATTTACCTTTTTTTTACGATTCCCACTTTCACGCTGCACTGCCTTCATTAGATGAACTAGTCGATCTACAAATGTCTGCTGGGCCGCCAGCAGAGAACGCATAACCCTGACAGACTTATCACCCTATGTAAGTTTGGAAAAAAGAAAATTAGTTCTTTGTTCTGTAATTATTTCATCTGGAATTTGTACATTTATTCTTGGGGCTATCTGTGAGTTTCTGATGATAAGTGAACAGCTATCAAAGCTATCCATTCAAAGAACAGCATTTTCTGTAAAATATAATCAAAATTGCTTTTGCTGGCAATCAATTATGTGAACTTTCAATGCACTTCAATTTATAGCAACAATAATTTTAGTGACAAACATTCATGCATGACAGCCTAATTCACAGAGCAAAAATCAGTTCCTTCTTGAGAAAGCTGGCAGGTAGAATACTCTTACATTCAACTCAAGTCACAAAGAAGTTTCTAAAAAGCCTCCATAAGACTAAAGTAAAAATGAAATGCAAGATGCTTGGCTGTTCAACATTAAATCAGCAAAGCTTTCACATCTGCACTACAAATTGTGCATCATTTGCCAAGCAGAAGTTTTTTCTTTCCCCCAGTCCTCCAGCACTCTTTTCTCCTGACACCCATACTAACGTGAGTTTTGCTTTATAAGTTAGTCACCTCGCCTGTCAAAGCTTGTGCAGTAAGAAGGGACATTTGTTAAAAAAAAAAAAAAAAGGAACATGATGCAGGATGACAAACAATCTCTTAGAGCCTAGTGTTTGAAAAAATAACAATCAAACAAAAAGGAAAAGGTTTCTTTTAGTAGTTACACTTAAATTGCTTTCAACTCAATTCACAATTATTACAGCAAAATGAAAACTAGTCATGGAAATATTAAGGGGCTTGTCAGAACTTGTCAGTAGTACTTGTGACATGGTAAACTGTGCTTACTAGGAAACAGCCCTAAAAAAAAAGTGTGATTATTGACAAGGAAAGCTTACCTTTAATAAAGCCTGGCTAAACCTTCTCATGACGTTCAGGTACATTTCATGAGTCTTTGGGTCCCTCTGCTGAGTGTCCTGGTCCTCACACTCCACTATCACATACCTTCAACACAAACACAGTCCAAGTTAACCTTTGATTATGTCAAATTCTTGACCAATGCATAATAAAGATCTGCAGATTATGTAAAGGAAAAAAAAAACAGCACTTGACTCAGGTTGATAAGTATAAAAACAAGGGTATCGGTCCCTGACACCGCTACTGGAAGGTGTTCTTATTAACCTTAGCGCGTGCATGCACATGCACATATCCAGACTTTGAAACTGATTTCACTAACATAGGCTACCAAGGCAAATATGGTGAACAGGACTTCCCAATTAGCCATCTATATACTGCTTGTCAATAGCCAGAAGATCAATGAGCTGGTCACTTTTACATTCCTTTATCATCTCGTTCTCAATTTGAGCACTTAGAAAAGTAGCAATGCAAATAAAAGAACTTCCCCACAAACAAATGCATATATCGCTACCACCCTTCTTCAGTAGGTGTGGAGAGTGAGAATTACTTGAATTAACCTTTGAGTGTGGCGATGAAAAGGCAATGTCCTAAAACAGAATAATGTTCATTTTAAAAGGACTATCCAACTAATGTCTTGGAAAATTGTGTTTATTAGTTTCTTGGAAGGACAGTAGGTGCCATTTTACACACAGTGGGCATGTCTACACAAGACATTTACTGTGCAGCTGACTAATTAGGTTGTGCAGTAAGTATCGTGTGTCTACATGTGTGTCCCTACTAAGCTGGAGTAAATTAATTTACTCCACAGTAGCATAGTACTTGTAGCAAGTACTATCCTGCTGCACAGTAAAAACCTCTGCAGCAGTGTACATGCAGACACTGGCACAGCTGGCTGACTCAAGATGGTGCTTCAGGGCATGGAGGGCTACCTGCTGACTACCCCGCACTGAAGCACCCTCATGCCCCCTGCCAGCTCCTCCACTGCACGCTGAGCCAGGTCACAGCAGCCCCAGGCTGACATTGCCCCCCACTACCCCCTGGACCCAAGTCAGTCCACACACAACGCTAATACGCATTAACGCTTGGATGTGTAAACACTGGCCTATTGGTAGGCTGACATTGCCCCCCACTACCCCCTGGACCCAAGTCAGTCCACACACAACGCTAATACGCATTAACGCTTGGATGTGTAAACACTGGCCTATTGGTAGGCTGACATTGCCCCCCACTACCCCCTGGACCCAAGTCAGTCCACACACAACGCTAATATGCATTAACGCCTGGATGTGTAAACACTGGCCTATTCCTGCTTACTGCGCAGTAACTTACTGCACAGTAACTTGAAGCCAGCGTAAATGCACGTGTACACACACCCAGGATGCTTGTTAACCTTCCTCTTGTTTGTGTTTTTGTGGTGCTTGAAGGCATCAGGCACAATTACAACTCCACTGCGCTGGGCATTAATCTGCAATACCAGTGTTTTTTGGGCAAATGGTCAAAATATTTTCATTTGCAACTTATGCTCAAGGGCTGCTTGCAGACATGAAAAAAATCCAGCACTTTACTTTCAGCTCAGTTGCCCCCAAAGAGGCACTGCATCAGTTTGACCCAGCTTGCTCAACGTCTATATAGATAGCACGCTTTAGAAGGGCTTTTTGGCACTTTTATTTAATAGTTGATAGACTGAATGGGTAGAATCAGCTATTAGATAAAAGCACCAAAAAGCCACATTGAAGCGCGCACTCTATAGAGACGTTGGGCGAGCTGGGTAAACTGACACACTTCCTCTTCCAGTAAAGCACTGTTTGTTTCTTTTTTTCATGTTTGTCAGTGGTCAAGATTCCTATATACAATGAAACCCTGCTACAACTGTGATGGAGGCTGAAATTTGCAATTACACATTAAAGTAAATCTAATGACTAAAACAGAAACCCTTGCTAAATATCTATTTTATGGTATTTTAACCAAGATAGTTTCAAGATCTGCTAAATAAAATATTTTGCCAAAGGTAGATTATTACATGCTTTGTTTTTCATTTAATTTATGAGTTAATTATAGGATATGCATTTAGGGGAAGAAAGGCACTGTCTGATAGTAAAGGATACAAGCCCTGGTTCATTCATACAAGAGCTACAATGACATGAGAAATTTGAAACAGATGAACATGGACATGAAAAAGGAGTTGAGGAATGTGAGACATGGTTCCATGTACACATCTCTTGAACGAACAGCAAGTTTTGAACAGGTATTATGCAACAGACTTGAATAAAGTCCCAGTAACGAATCATAGGTTCATACACAACTATGGCTGGAAGGGACTTACTATAAGGTCTTCCAATCCAGCCCCGTTTATCCCGACTAAAGCACCCGAGTCAGTTGTGCATCTTGCCTGCTCTTCAAAGTTTTAAAGGATGGAGATTGCACAACTTCTCTAGGTAGCCTGTTCCAACACTGGACCACACTCGTAGTCAGAAAGTTTCTCCTAATCTCCAATCTAAACTTCCTCAACCTAAATCTATTTCCATCCTCTTCAGGTAGTTGAAGATTATTATCAAATCCCCTGCTGACCCCTGCCATCCCTCTGCCCTGCACTGCCCCTCTGCTATTCTTCAAGACTAAATAATTCTAGTTCTTTCACCCTTTTCTCTTACTTCCCAAGCCCTTAATTATTTCAGTCACTCTCTGCTGGACACTTCTCTAACTGACCACAACTTTCTTGAAGTGTGGGGTCCGAAACTGAACACAATACTTCAGGTGAGGCTTCACCAGTGGACCCTTTTGTATAGAGAACTTTCTTTTGTCTGCATAGAAACCCCTTGGGCTACTGCACTGAAAACTGTAATCTATGAGATTCCCTGACACTGAAGACTTTTCAGATCAAGCTATACAACAAATAACAAAAATTGTCGTTCAATTTTGTGCATGTTACACTTTTATAAAAAGCTTCAAAATTCACAAAAAACAAAAAAACTGTGGATATACAGTCACAAAAACTGACTTTCACAAGGACAATCATCTTAATAATGTAACTAGAAATTAGTTCTGATTTTTTTTCTCTCAATACGGAAACTGCTAATAAGATGTTCTGTTTAGGATTTCAAATTTATAAACCATTAGGGAGAAAACAAACTGAAAGGTTGTTGACAGCTTTTCCTGCGTGTTCTGTTGTCAAGCACAAGCTTGGCAAAGGGAACAAAAACTAAGAAATTCATTAAAATCTGACCTTTTTATCCTTCTTTGCAAGGAAAATAATTAGGCAGCCTTGCAGATATTTTGAGTGAAGCAAGGGCTAAGGGGCTGATATGATATGTATTGGTAGGAGATGTGCAGACAACAGTGCTAGCCATCTGTGTATATTACTGAAGCGAAAGAACAAGACTGACTTTAAGATCCCAGTAATATGAAGGAGTTTCTAGGGTTACTGTACTTTTCCATTGATTATTTTAGGCTCATGCTGTGTCTGGTTAGCTGAAAAATGTAATTGATCAGCAGCCAAAAGGATTTATGGCTATGTCAGATCAAACTGCAGCTGTGACATTTGGATTTTGTCACTGAGAAATGGAGATGTCTGGAAGGTAAACAAATAAATTGGCTGATTTTGTGGTCAGAAGGCAAAAATGTTGCGAGAGTGCTGGATAGTTTGTCAACTGAGTTATGAAGAAAGTTTGTTTAGGTTTTCAAAGCCAATGTTACTGTATGACTTACAAACCACACACACACACATATCAGTATCACAAAGGGAAAAACCTTTCCAATGTGGAAATAAAGCTTCAAAGATTGTGAAATAAAACAAGTCATTTAAGTGAAGTTAGATCAATTTATTTCCCATTTAAAAAAAAACGAAACAACCTAGAACGTGTGCCTATACCAAGTATTTGGCTGCTATACGGGATCGTAACGCCAAGAACAGGTTCTCATATTGTGAACATATACATTCTAAGATAGGCAGAAAGAGTATGCATGCTGGTACATTCACAATGAGTTGTAAAACTGTAAAGAAACATATGGGAAATTGAAGCTGGATATTAGTAAGAACTTTCTACATTTGATGGTTAAGTATAATCAGCTAGAGTTTGTGGAATCTCCATCATCGGTATTTGTTAACCACAAATTATACAGACATTTGACTGGGATGGTTTTAGACAGGGATGATCTTGCCTTGAGCCAGGGCATAGATTAATGGACCTCCTGAGGGCCCTTTCCGCCCCACTTTGCTAAAACTCTCACTTTAGCTGCATACTGGGAGAAGTAATCTAAGCATAACACTGGAAAGGACAGTCTTAAAACTGATACCACTGTCATGGTAGGTCAGTTCTTGGAGTCACATTTAAACTTTATATTTTAAATTTGCCCAAAACACTTCCAAGCCAATTATGCTATCTTCACAATATATCAGCATTTACTAAAATGTATGGTAAATCAAGAATGGTGTTTATGAAATACATATACCAAGGGCTACGTTGAGGGTAGTAATTTAAATTACAACTAAATAGGGGAGTGATATGAAAATATTTCTTATAGAAAAGCAATATTTGTGGGTCTAACAACCTAGGTGTTAATATTGTGCTCATCTGTGACATCTTATACAGCTAGTCTTAAAATTTTGAACAACATGTTTGCAGTGCATTATACCAACTAAGTATTTTACCAAATGCCATGAGGTAGTGTATGAACTGAGCAATAAAGGCAGATTATGTGATATAGTTAATACCAATTTAAATCTGAAATACCGTAAAGAGAAAAAAGGATTTGCTGTTTTTCAAACTGAAAGACACAATTTAAGGTCTATCATGTGAGGGGGTTTTTGTTCTTGTTTTCTAACTTTGACTGGAGCATTAATATAAATACACACAGACACACACTTATACATAAGCAGAAGGTAGCTAATAAGGATAGAATTCATTGCCTTGTAATAATAATATACATGCCTATGGGTTTAGACAAAGTGAATTAGAATCATAGGACTGTAATGGATCTCAAGGATCATCTAGTCACACAAATGCAGGAATGATATTCCAACATCTAGATATACCGATATATCTCTCAATCATATCAAAATATGTCATATTTTTAAATCTCATGTCAAAATCTATATATAAATTGGTATATTTCAGAATATCATTCCTGCATTTGTGCAGGGATTTGATCAAATGCTCCTTCAGATTCCTTACAAATTTATGATTCTAATTCACTTTGTCTAAAGACATATGCATCTATATTGTTATCATAAGGCAATGAGTACTATCTTGATTAGTCGTTACTTTCTGCAACTGCATACTGTACTACTTTCACCTCTCCTGTCTGTTTAAACCTGATAATGCATTTTGACTCAGATTGATATTGTAAATTCACCAGAGCTGAGAATTTTATCTGTTATCAGTCTCTATGCAGCACCTTGCACAGTGATCTTAATTCAATACCTTTTAGGCAGCACCATGACACAAACTAAGTTGTTTCTGACATACCAGTATAAATAGTTTGCCAAAGTGGAATTCTTGCATGCGCGAGATATCAAGAAAGTGCAGAGGTCTTGCTGGAAGAAATTAAAAAAAATGTAAGTATTAAAAATGGGATTAGAGCAAAAAATGTATAATATTCTTTCACTGTACATATATGCTTTTCATTTTTTCAGCCTTACATGAGCAGCCTACTTCTAAACAGTCGTACTGTGTGATACAATTCTCTAGCATGACTGTCACAAGAGTAGGTTTTGTTGATCTGCTAATGAATAGTGCCCAATATCTGCTTGCATATAGAACAGGCAAGAGTTACTCCTCAGAGTAGATTTAGAGCCTGGAGTAAGGAGCCAACCCCAATGAAAAATCTTAGGTTCAGTTTTCTTTCTTTGTTGCAAAAGCAGGGAGTACACATCACATGGACTGCATCTGCAGCAGGGTGACGGATTCCCTGCTCTCAGACTATTCAACTTTTCCATCTAGATGCTTATAATATTCAATTCCTATACAAACTTCAATTCAGTCACAGATATCAGTTCATCTTTATTCCTCAACTTTACATCTTCTTTGTGTCTTGAGGCTTTGGCCCAAGAAAATACTGAAAGCTAGAACTTCACAAAGCAGAGAAAATAAAATAGGGACTTTTATAATTATTTTGTGCAGACCTCAACTAGAATCTCTATGTTTTAAAATATCTTAAATGCCTAGCGGTTGCAAGATATTCCCTATCCCAATATTCACTTTCACTACAAGTCACTGCTTTTGCGTACGGCACTACACACAATACTATTGTGTCCAACCAATTTGTTCCTGCTAGTGCAATTAGGTTCATGAATGTGTGGCCTACAAAGTTCAGGTAGCCATCAGCATGTCACTATCTTTATATTTACTTCACTTGAACACTTCCTTTCCCCTCACAGAGCACCATTAAAAAAAAAAGCCTTTATCTTTTGGACTATCCAGCAATAGCAAAGCTCATAAACTGTAATATTATACTTCACTAGTCAAACTCAAGTAGCATGAAAAGCAATTTAAAACATGCATCCATTTGGTTCATCTCAGTCCTCTTCAGCTAAAACTTTTTACTTACATCAAGGTTTTCACTATCTGCAGACTCCTTTGTTTTAGAAGACAGAGGTGGTGAAGATACAGGGGGGATAGGACTCATGATTTGGGAACTGGAAAATAAAGCAGGAGAGTATATATTTTATAATCAGGGATTTAGGTCATGCAGATGGATATACACATCAGATAAGAAAACCCACATAACAAACAATGGGTACGGACCAACAAACAATTGTATTGCGATCAAGGGACACTGTGTTGGCAGCAGGTTGAGGGAAATAATTATTCCCCTCTATTCAGCACTGGGGAGGCCACATCTGGAGTCCTGTGTTCACTTTTGGGCCCCCCGCTACAGAAAGCATGTGGACAAATTGGAGAGTCCAGCAGAGGGCAACAAATATGGTTAGGGGGCTGGGGGACATGACTTGAGAGGAGAGGCGGAGGGAGCTGGGCTTATTTAGTCTAGAGAAGAAGAGACTGAGGGGGGATTGAACAGCAGCCTTCAACTACTTGAAGGGGGGGGGTTCGAAAGAGGATGGAGCTGGACTGTTTTCAGTGGTGGCAGATGACAGAACAAGGAGCAATGGTCTCAAGTTTCAACAAAAGAAGTTTAAATTAGATATTAGGAAGAATTTGCTCGCTAACATTGGAACAGGTTACCTAGATAGGTGGTGGAAGATCCATCCTGGAAGGTTTTCAACACCTGAATAGACAAACCTTTGGCTGGGATGATGTAGTTGGGGCTGGTGCTGCTTTGAACAGGGAGGGTTGGACTAGATGTGACCTCCTGAGGTCCCTTCCAATCCTAACTTCCTATGATTCTGTGATGCAAGATGTTAGGATGCATCTGTTATGTCTGCTTGATTCTGCACTGATACAAGTACAGCAAAACTGCTCCAACTTTTACCTTGCTTTATTCAGGGTCCAAGTTAGGGTGATTTAGCTCACTGATGTCAGTATAGGATCATGATGACATAACAGAGTGAAATAGCTGCTATAGCTCTCCTTCCCCTTTTAAAGCAACTAAATGCATGTCTGTCCATATCCCAAGATTACCAAATGAATTGGACATGAGGGCTAACTGACGCCATGATGAAACATAGTAAGGTTATTTACACCCATATTGCAACTAATCTCAAGTATCAAGATCTGACACCTAAACATGCAGGCTCTGGCACAGCCCTGTTTCAAGGGTGATCAATGCAGAGTGCATCAAAGATAAGATACTTTCACTGTGCTTATGAAAATGCAACACGCCTGCACCTACTTCAAGTCTAAGGCAGTGAATGTTACCTCACTGCTGACAGTGTTTTACCACACAGACAGCATTTCAAGCCTTCCTCCTTTGGAGTTCAGAAAACTGAGGGCACTCTATAAAAGCAGAACAGCAGCAGGAATCACTCAGCAGGAATCACTACAAAATAATATGCTGAGATGCAAGCCGGGAAGTTGAAGTGAGCAAAAGGTACACCTTAAATAGAGACGACAAAACCTCTAGCTATTTTTCAAAATGATTTAGGCACTTCAAGTCCTATTTTTGAAAAAGCAATAGTCACTTGGGCACTTTTGGAAGCCTTCCCCATGTCCAGACCAAATGTTGAATGCATGCTGGCAACACAAGACTTAAGTTTGATCATGCGCAGACAAGCAGGCAAGGCCTATGGAAAATTGCACAGCATGCCCAGCACGTGCCCCCATGCGACCCTTGGCTTGTCAATCAAAGCTGACCTAGTTTTGTGGCAACACACATGCTCAGTTCTGCTCAGCAGATGAAGTAATCTGACCGGACGCATGCTCAGTCTACAGACTGCATGACGTAATCGGACTAGAAATTTCTTTAGAGAAGACAACCCGATTGGCTACCCGGTTGTCATAAAGACTTGGGGGGCCCCTCCTCAGGGGGGAGTTTAGCAAAAGAGAGAAGGAGAGAGTTTTTTGGGGGGTTCTGACAGCGGTGCTGACAGGGAAGATTCGTCTTGAGAGCAGAGGCTGGCCTGACAGGAGGGCTTTACGCCCACTGGTCTCCTGTCCGAACCCTGAGAGCAGAGGCTGCTAATGCAGGGACTGCTCCTCAGGAGGAAGACCACGCTCGACCTGCAAACAGATACTGCCTTAGCGCCTTAGCAGAGACTGTCCCACCGGAAGAGATCGAACCAATCCTGAGAGCAGAGGCTGCTGCTGCAGGGACTGCTCCTCAGGAGGGCTTTCGGCCCACTGGTCTCCTCACAGCTATGATTTTGCGATTTATTCGATTTGTCTTGATCTGATCATTCCGTATTGATCTCTGGCTAACGAACTAATTTCTGGCTTCGACCTCGACCACGATCCCGCATCTCAACCACTGGCTACAACATTGTAACTTCGACATCCACATTGACTTCGGCATCTTAACGACCACCCGTTTCGTCCACACTGGACTGGCGTCACGACATTCTACATGTTACAGTTCTGTTGTTTGTTATCCCGATCAATGAGCTGTTGACCAGCCCTGGGACTATCGACTTGGGCAGCCGCCCCTAGCTCCGGCTAGAAAGCAAGGGCTCACTCAAGAACCCCGTGGGCCAACAGACCCCTTTGCTGTTTCTTCGTATATTGTAACCAAAGCAAGATTTCCACCTACGCTCTAAAAGCGTAAGTAAATAAATCAACTTCATTTGAAACCACACATGTCCCGTACCGCTCAGACTCCTCACCGCTACTCCCACCTGTTCCGATCCGATACTACTCTTGGCCCACCGTGACCTTGGGGCCGCTGTTCCCTGACATGGCGTCACGAACAGGATTCAAACCCATTGATCCTGATCCCTGACATGGCGTCACAAACAGGATTCACGGGAGGCATGAAGTCTGAGTTACTTCAAAGCTGCCCATGGCACGGCGAAGTCCGTCCGACCAATGACCCAGACGACTTGCGGGATCACATCGTATTCCACCAGGCCGCAAACCCGGCCGTGGGAACGATTAATGGTTACCCGTCCCTCCGCGGGACAAGCGGGAAGGAATGGGCATTTCGGCTCAATCCCGGATCCCTTGGTTGCATTATGAGAGACCCCTGGGCCGTTTATCGCCCAAGGGAAGAGACCGGGTCCATATCCCTGGCCCGCGTGAAACCTTCAGGTGCTGCGAACTCCAGCCCGACCCAGCAGTTTGCCCAGTGCATAAAATATATGAAGGAGGGAGGCGAAGACACCCCTCCGGATGGGTTTAACTGCCCGAGCCTCAAGGCCGGATCAAGGAGGCACGAGCTCCTAACACAGCTCCAAAAAAGCTCGAGAAGGACGGCCAAAAGGCCGAGTGGATGGGGCTCAAGTGGAAGAAAGGCAGGATAATAAAAAGCCGCTCTAACGTCACCGCCAGCTCCGCCCACTCCGAGCCTGCCTTACGTCACCCGTTGCTCCGCCCACCCGAAGCCCACCTCCTGCGGCAGCGCCGCCCGTTGCGACCGCGTCACCGCCGCCATACATGGACTGGCGCCACCTGGAGGAAGTACAAACGAAGAGCAGCCGAAAAAACGAAACTGAAGCAAACACAATCACAAGAAGAAACGAAACCATACCAATGAAAGCCAACATGAACGTACCGACAAAAAACGAAGTAAATGTACCACCGAAAAAATAATGAAACCGAACAACAGCAACAATCTAACAAAACTGAACCTGAACCGGAACCGGAACCTGAACTGGAACCACACCCGATCAGGAATTCTTCCACCCATTTTCGATGGGTAGATCGAGACCCGACGAATCCGTACCAATGGCAACCGACCCAAAATTTACTGCCAACGAAAAAATGGAATCAGTCATTCCGAACCAACTACTCGCCTCCACAGCGAATGCCTGTGGAGAGAGCGATGTTTGGATTTCTGCTGAAAAAATCTGGCTTATCGAAAACAAGATTGAGGCAGTTAGGAGACGAAAGACAATGGACACTTGCGAGGGCCCTGGGCTTTGACGAGAGTAGCACGAGGCTAAGACAACGAGTGATGGCCGTTGGCGTCGGTGCGACAGCCGACAGTATATCATATACTAACACCGAATTGAACTTGAACAAACTGAATTCAAACGCACCGAACCGCGACGAACCGAAATAAACCAGAACAAAATTAAACGAACTGAACCGAAACGAACCGAGACGAAACGAGCGAAAGCAGACTGAACCGAAGCGAAGCAAATCAAAATGAACGAAAAATGATACCCGACAAACCCGTAACCGTTTTGACTGAGGGAATACAGGAAGGAGTTAAAGTTAACGACGATGAAAGAAGAAACCAAAAAGCTAACATGAACGGACAAACAAGCTACCCGAAACTAAGTGTGACTATAGCAGCGAATGACACAAATCACTTCAAGTGCGATCCAGGTCCTTACGCAACGATCAAGATTCAAAAGCCAAACGATCTATCGCAAAATTCGATTCAATAGGCCCTAAAATTAGTCATATACGTATAGTTGTATTTTAGAACGTATTCTGTCCAGTTCTGTTTTCTTTTCCAGAAACAAGCCGTCGATAAAAGGGAAGCGTACGAGCCAATCCCACCAATAAATCATCAGGACTGGCGAGAGCATCGTTTACGGCGCCACTAGAATCTGAAAAATGTCAGCTGGAAATCGAAAGACTGTGTATACGATTGTTATAATTGCTTTGTTTGGACAACTGACCAAACTGACTGCCAAACTGAACTACTCGAAAGATACGGTTTTCACATTCTACTACGCCTGTATTATGAACGTTAAACCCTAATCTCAAACTCCTGTGTTACCAGCAAGGGGGCATGTCCAGACCAAATGTTGAATGTATGCTGGCAACACAAGACTTAAGTTTGATCACGCGCAGACAAGCAGGCAAGGCCTATGGAAAATTGCAAAGCATGCCCAGCATGTGCCCCCATGCGACCCTTGGCTTGTCAGTCACAACTAACCTAGTTTTGTGGCAACACGCATGCGCAGTTCTGCTCAGCAGATGAAGTAATCTGACCAGACGCATGCTCAGTCTACAGACTGCACGACGTAATCGGACTAGAAATTTCTTTAGAGAAAACAACTCGATTGACTACCCGGTTGTCATAAAGACTTGGGGGGCCCCTCCTCAGGGGGGAGTTTAGCAAAAGAGAGAA